CGCAGGGGGGGGGCGGGGGCGGGGGCGATGCTGGAGGAGGCGGGTGAGGTGCTGGAATCGGTGCTGAAGGCCTCGTGCCTGCCGCTCAGCTTCCTGCTCTTCGTGCCCGCCGTGCTCCTGCTCCTGGGCCCGCCGCCCGCCGCCGAGGCAGCCCACGAGTTCACGGTCTACCGCATGCAGCAGTACGAGCTGGGCGGGCAGCCCTACGGTGAGAGACTACGCGGCCCGGCCGGGCGCGGTTCGACCACCGGCATGCGCCAGGCCTCGGTCCTCCGGGAGGGCGAATCCCGGCAGCGGCCCTTTTCAGGGCCGATGGGGCCCTGGGAAGAGCCTCGACGCCGGGGAGGAGCCCAGGGTAGTCCGCGAAGCTGCAGGCCTCCCGGAGAGGGCGACCCAGCTCAGGGGAGGCTGCAGGAGAGCTCGGAGGGCTCTGTGAGGCTGCAACCGGGCCCAGACTCAGGGGAGACCGTAGGTGGGCCCCGTCTGGCTGAGTTTTACTGCCCAGTCTCACCACGAGCAGGAGGGTGCCGAGAGCTCCCACATGGTGACCTAGAGGCGTCCAGGCACCCTGCTGTGTCCTTGCAGGCTCCTGTCTGTGGGATGAACTCCCTGTGTTTCAAGTAGTCCAGCTGCAGCCCTCTTGCATACTGAGGAATGTGGTCATGAGCTCGGTTTTGTTCTTTTGCCTTTGACTCCTCTGTTGGCAGGTTGATTCTCCTTCACTCTTCAGCCTCTTCTTCAGTCTCAATTAGCAGTGTCTATGGGCTCTAGTGTCTCGTTTGAGAGTCCTTTCTTTTACAGTTCTTCCTTTATGTTACGATTGACCTCCAGTTCCTCTGTTCTGTTGCTTCCAGGCTGCTGATTGTGCAACACCTTTCTTTGAGTCAGAAAAACGACCTGTTCTGTGAAGCATTGAAGTGTTGTAACCTTTAGCCTCCACCTCCCTGTACTCACTAACCCAGAATCAAGTGTTGTTTCTGAGTCTTCTGTACATATTTTATTCCAGATCAGGGTGTGTGTTCTGCCCATGAGTGACTCTCTCTTCCTGCTGTCTGTTTTGTGGCCTAAGTTTCAGACTTCTGTTAACAGTCTGGCATTACAGCCCCACGTTTATTCTGTACTGTCCATGAGACTCGGTCTCTAGATCTTTCAGATCTTCATAAGATAAAACATCACTAGAAGTTATGAAATGCCAGCTCTGCCTGCATGCTTTGTAAACACTACAGATGCTACTGGTGGCTTCTGAATATCTGAAATTATTTCTGGGTTTTTCCATCACATTTTCTCAAAATGTGTCCACATCTTGAGACCTCTGTTGTTGAGAACCTCACTAGATCTGAGGTAGGCTCTCTCATGGGAGTATTAAGCTATCTCTTTCCTCATGTGGTGGTAAATCTTTGTTGGCAGGCTTAATGGGGGCAGCAGGCATGTGTTTCAGCTGGCTTTGACGTTGGTTGCCTGAGTGTTCTCTCTAGCCAAGTTTTGGAATATTTTGTAAACTCTTGAAAAGCCACACATTGTTTTTTAAGATGCTTGCAATTAACTTTTTATGCCATTTCTTTTTCTGGAGCCTTTTAGCTCAGTGGATTGTGTATTTTCTTTGTTCCTTGCCAGCCCCTTTGCGTAGCTGATGTTCCTGTTCCATGTGTGTTCTGAAGCCAGATGTCCTTCAGGATAAAACCTATTTGTTGTTCCTGATTCTCATATTTTCCAAAAAGACCAAATCGAGATTGCTGCTGAGCCTTTTCTTGCAGGGGGGAGAAGAGTTTTTTGTCAACATCAGTCATAGAGCAGTTGAAGAACAAACGTGGACTTCTAATACTGTTAGAATAGAGTTCTTTAGATTGTAAATGAACAATTATTAAACAGTTCTCTGTAGAGAAACTACAGAAAATCAACTTGTCTTGCCATGTTGTCAGAAAATACCATTGGGTCTGCTCTGCTTAGATGTCAGAGGGTTGTGCTGGGAGCAGAACTCTGGATCCATACTTTGCTATGTTTACACATTATTGTTTTGGGAATGGTGGAGGAGTTATCCTCATTATGGATTGTTTTTCTCTGATCGGGGGGGGGGCTGCTGTTAATATTTGTTTGTTATACTGTGTAGGAGCTCTATGTGCAGAATTTAGATCGTGCCTCAACTTCCTTTCTGGGTGTATGGCCCTCACTGATACTATGCAGTGGGAGTCCGGGTTTTTCTTGTTTGGGTGATTTGACCTTTGATGAGACCAAACTAATGTTAGAGTTAAGCCAGGTTTAAATCTAACCTTTAACAACACTCCTATTTGGCATAGGCTGAGATGCTTTCTGAAGCACCTTGCTCCTTCCCTGTCTGCTTGGGAACCCAGTGTGATGAAGTTTTTGATGTAGGTGCCAGAGGTACAGAACAAGAAATTGGATTTGGAGCATTACAAATTGTGAGGTGGATTTGAACATCTCTATTTATACAAGATGTCCTTGTGGTCCTCTCTTGGAAAATGCTGGAGCATCTGGCAAGTCTCCAGACTGCTGTTCTCCCAAAGGATTGCATTTTCATGTTGGGGATTTGATACACTGAAACTGAGAGTAGGAGAGAGCGAGCAGTTAGAAGCAGCCTGCTCATTTGTAATTTTCTCAGCCACAGAAACATCCCAGTGGGTGAGCTAGAACAGCCTTTTGGATGGACATGGGGTAGTCTTGTGTCCTTTCACGAAGTGGTTCTGCACAGCTTGCATCCTCTGCTTGCAGACATGATCCTACAGCTAGAGGATATAGTAGGCTGCATAGCAAGAGGCCAGGCTTTCTCCACATGTATTGCTGTCTGCAGGTACTAGGTGCAGGCAACCAAACAGGTAGCTTGTGTGGTTGTGGTGGGGAGGAAGACTGGAAGGTGGCTGAGGCTGCGTAGTGCTGGAGTAAGGGGAGCCTGGCAGGACATGTCTGCACAGATGTTGGTCTGATGGATGCAAGGACAAAACACAGATCTCTGTTCCTTCTTGGACAAGGGGGAAGAGATGAACTTAGCTTTCTGCAGGTCCTGGCTGCTCTGAAGTTCATCAGACTGTCACCAAGACTGTTCTGAGAAGGAGCAAGGCTCAAGCAAAGGGGATGTGATGAGATCATCGTAGAATCATAGAATGGCTTGGGCTGGAAGGGATCTTAAAGATCATCCAACTCCAGCTTCCCCTGCTGTGGGCAGGGACGCCACCCACTAGACCAGGTTGCTCAGGGCCCCGTCCAACCTGGTCTTGAACACTGCCAGGGACAGGGCATCCACAACCTCTCTGGGCAACCTGTTCCAGTGCCTCACCACCCTTTGAGTAAAGAATTTTTTCCTAACATCTAATCTATATCTCCCCTCTTTCAGTGTGAAACTGTTCCCCCTTGTCCTATCGCCATCTGCCCTTATGAAGAGACTCTCCCCCTCTTTTATATAAGCCCGTTTAAGTATTGAAAGGCCGAATCACTTACAAAACCTCTTGCTGTTCTCTCCTCTCAGGCACCAGGAGTGCAGTGCTTAACACAGAAGCCCGCACTGTAGAAGCGGACGTCCTGAGCCGCCGCTGCGTCATGATGCGGCTGGTGGATTTCTCCTATGAGCAGTACCAGAAGGCTCTCCGCCAATCAGCTGGTGCTGTGGTGATCATCTTGCCACGATCTATCTCTTCTGTGCCACAGGATGTTGTAAGGGTAAAAAAAAAAGTTCCCTTTCTCTGCCAATGGGAGATGTGTTTGAGAGGGAGAGAGGCTTGTGTTGTTGTAGGACTGAAGGCTCCTGTTGTAATGCACAACAAATCATATTCTAATTGTAAAACTTGCCTTTCTCTGCTTTGGTTGTTAATTTTTTTCTGCCCTCTTGCATATTTAGCAGATGCTAAGTTTGTGTCTCACTTAAATCCTCAGCAATTCATGGAGATAGAGCCGGAAATGCTTGCTATGGAAACCATTGTGCCAGTCTATTTTGCAGTGGAAGACGAAGAGCTGCTGTCTATCTATGAACAAACGCGGGCTGCTTCTGCATCACAGGGTTCTGCCTCGGCTGCAGAAGGTGAGTTCTAACAAGTGGGGGAAAGGTTTAGAGGAAGACAGTCCTGATCCCACCTCTGGGAGCAGTATGCTGTGTCATATGCACCATGAACCGGTGTTCTGTTGCCTTTATGTTTATTCTGTCTTTGTTAAAGTGCTTTGAGATTTAATGGAAGAAAGACACAGCATAAGAGAGAATATTACTTGACAATATTTGGAAATACAGTTGCATGGAGTGAGTTCTCAGCTTCACACTGTTGTAAGTAAGATAGAAGGCAAAACTCAAGTTAAAAACAACACTGAAGATGTTAAGTGACTACAGTGTGTTGGTGGAAGCTGAAGCTTTTTGTCTGACTACCAGTCAGTTCAGTGCTTCCATGTATTCCCCTGTAAATAACTTTACTATCTTACTGACCTGCTGCTCATGATTAACTTTAGGACTGCTGGAGAAAAGCTTTTGTTGTAGCTAGCTCAAAATATGAGGATTTCAGGACAGAATGAAAATGCACGGTCATCAGGATTCCGTGTCAATGCATACACAAAAGTGACAAGTGAGAGGGCTAAAATGGTTTAAAGCTAGTCTCTCCAGAGCTCAGTTAGCAAGGGATAAAAAGGGATGAAACTTCCCCAGGTGTACTTTTTTTTTTGTTTGTTTCTAGTTCTGCTGCACACAGCAACTGCCAATGGCTTCCAGATGGTGACCAGTGGGGCTCAAAGCAAAGCTATCAATGACTGGCTCATACCCAGCGTGGAGGTGAGTTGTATATGGATTCAAACTGGCAACATTGATGGGATGCCTTCTTTTATTGGGACTTGATCAGACATTTGGACTGATAGGGGAAGTCAGGGGAGTCTCAGCCAGGTATGTATCTGAAGTCCTCAGAACTGAGGCCACTGCAGACTCAATAGGCGTGTAGAAGTCAGGCTGTCTTTGTATAGGTGCACAAAGGGCGATGCTGAGTGACGCTGATCTCTTTCCTCTGCAGGGAAGGCTTACGGGGCTGGGTGGAGAGGACCTGCCCACTGTTGTGATAGTTGCCCACTATGATTCTTTTGGAGTAGCTCCAGTGAGTATTCTTTCTTCCTGCAGTGCTCTGTTCCTGTCTGTGTGTTTCTGTCGTCTTTCCCATGTGGCCTCTGCCCCTATGCTTTTTCTTGGCCTTAAAGACATGGGGCAGTTATAAGGGATCATGGTGGCGTGCTATCTTGAAGGCTGTTCTGGGACATGAGAATAAGTGTAGGGTTGTCACCTTGTCTCTGTCCCACTTCATCCTGCAGTGGCTGTCACATGGTGCTGACTCCAATGGCAGTGGTATCTCAGTGCTACTGGAACTAGCCAGGCTGTTTTCCCGGCTCTACACCTACAGACGTACCCATGCTGGGTAAGAAACTGCCCTATTCTTGGTTGAATGTGTGTAGCTGAGATCAGATAAGAAGGGCTTTTGCTCCAGACCTGTAGAGTGTTACAAGCAGTCTTTTACTTCCTTTGCTCTGTTTTGCTTCCCTCCAAGTACAGCTGCTGTTAATGGCCAAGCTCCTTCTTTTGGTTTCTTTGCTGTAGCTCTGCTCAAGCTTGGGGACAAGTGAAGGGAATGATGCGGGAAGTAGATTCCATCCTCAAGCACTGGGAACTCCCCCCCACCTTTACCCCTGTCCTGCCATTACCTTAGTATGTGGCATGTAGGAAATGTTTGTTAATGGACAGTTTGCCTTGAATGTCAAGTGCTAGCTGTTGTGATTTCACCGCACCTCCAAGGCTGAGTAAAGGAGTTCTGTAGCTGTGGAGCACAGTGTGCTAATGCTTTTCTGTCTTCTTTGATGGGCAGGTATAACTTGCTGTTCTTTGCATCTGGAGGTGGCAAGTTTAATTATCAAGGAACCAAGCGGTGGCTGGAAGACAATTTGGACCACACTGGTGAGTAAGAGGCTGGCATTCTAGCATGTTCTGTGGCAAGGCCTCTGTTAATACAATTGTGCTGTGTCTAGTATGTCAGCCCTCCTTTGAGAATCTCCTTGTGTAGGCCTTGCTTTTTTGGGATGGAAATCCCAGCGCAAAACATAGCAATAAAGGTTTGGATTTTTCTGTTTCAGATTCCAGCCTGCTGCAGGACAACGTAGCGTTTGTTCTCTGCCTTGATACTCTGGGCCGAGGCAATAGCCTTCATCTCCATGTCTCAAAGCCTCCCAAGGAGGGGACCTTACAGCATGCGTTTCTGAGAGAACTGGAGATGGTAATGAAAAGCCTTTTAGGTAGATGGGAACTTGGGACTTACTATGGGGAGCTGCAGCTCTCCAAGAGAGGAATGAAGGAAGGAAGATGTGAAGAAAGGGTGTGCCATTGAAACATTTCATGTATTTTGTACGGTCACTTGATTTGAAGTGCGGACAAATCCTGATGCCACAGTCCCAAATGAAGCAAACTAGATCTGCTGCATTTTCCACTGCACTTCCTTATGGCTTGTTGCTTGCAAAAGCTACCCTGTAGTGACATTAAAACAGTTTTTTTGACATTAAAACAGCTTTTTAATGGCAGTAACTACACCTTACAGGTGGAACTGTATTTACCATCTGGAACACAAAAAAAGCAGGTCTAGGTGGACTGGGCAGTGCAAGATGGGACTATGCAGTGGGCAGCATGACACCCTGGATGGCTTGTCCTTTCCCTCAGGTTGTTGCCAGCCAGTTCCCAGAGGTGAAGTTTTCCATGGTGCACAAGAAGATAAACTTGGCTGAGGACATGCTGGCATGGGAGCATGAGCGTTTTGCAATCCGACGCTTGCCAGCATTCACCATCTCCCATCTGGAGAGCCACCGGGACAGCCTGCGCAACAGCATCATGGATAGGAGGTTAGAGGCCTTAGGGAAGGCTGCAGTTGAAATTCAGCCCATAAACACAAATTGGCCTCATGGCTTCTTGTGCTGTTTTGATGGTCAGAGGATGGGTGAAAAAACACTGGGAGCTGGGCTCTGGATTCAGGCTCATGCTTGATGCAGTGAAAAAGGGTATTTCTAGAGGAAGCTGATCTCATTGACAAGTTCATAATCCCCTCTTTTGTTTTAGGGCACGAATAGACACTAAGGCACTAACCAGGAATACTAGGATCATTGCTGAGGCTTTGACAAGGGTCATCTACAACCTGACAGACAAGGTAAGAGCTGCCCGTCGTGCAGTGCTAGCCAGATTTGTCCTGCCTAACCAAGCTTGCTCTCACCAATAGCCTGGGTTATTTTTTTTTTCCCTTGCAGGGAGCACCTGCAGATCTGCAGATCTTCACGGATCAGATGGTGAGCACAGTGCATTTTTGTAACCTGTGGAAAGAAGGAATCAAGAGTCTGGGAGAGAGGTCTGATCTCAGCATATGTGTGGTTGACTCCCTTTCTTTGGTGGTATTTTTCTGCAGCAGATCCAGCAGGAGCAACTAGAATCAGTGATGGACTGGCTGAGCAGTCAGCCCAGGGCTGCCCAGCTGATTGATAAAGACAGCACCTTCCTCAACACCTTAGAATATTATATGGGTCGCTACCTGAAGGATGTCAAACAGCATCATGTAAAGGCAGACAAACGGTAAGAAAAGAGATGAAAGAACCAGCCAGGGCATGCAAACTCGCTTCCCCCTCCAATGAATTCTGTCTCTGAGCTGCAGCTTTTCTGGCTTCTTGGCATATAGCTGGAAGGGATTGCTCTTTTCTGCTCTTCTGTCAGTTTTGGTTCATGATCTCTGTTCTCCCAGAGAAAGCTCTTTATCATTCCTCACAGCACAGTAACAAGTCCCAGCAGCTCCCTCTGTCTGAAGAGCTTGTTTTTTGACTGTTTTGATTCCACCCTTTCCACTCTGAGTGCTGCTTCTCTCTGAATGCAGGAAAAGACTGAGGTCCCCTAGAAAGCTTTCTGTAATTGCAAAAAGGCAGCTTCCATCCTATCTAACCTGCTTGGGTTGAAGCAATTTAATGAACCCAGTGAGGTATCTTCCACGTGCCTCTTCTGAGACAGCTGAACAGCCTGTGTTCTGAATTGTATCCTTAGACTTCTGATTGAAAGAAAGACTTTCAACCAAAATCGACAGCTGGCTGAATATGAGCCAGCAGTGTGCCCAGGTGGCCAAGAAGGCCAGTAGCATCCTGGCTTGTATCAGGAATAGTGTGGCCAGCAGGACTAGGGAAGTGATTGTTCCCCTGTACTTGGCACTGGTGAGGCCACACCTTGAATCCTGTGTTCAGTTTTGGGCCCCTCGTTACAGGAAGGACATTGAGGTGCTGGAGCGTGGCAAGAGAAGGGCAGCGAGGCTGGTGAAGGGTCTGGAGCACAAGGCTGGTGAGGAGCAGCTGAGGGAACTGGGGTTGTTTAGCCTGGAGAAAAGGAGGCTGAAGGGAGACCTTATTGCTCTCTACAGCTACCTGAAAGGAGGTTGTAGCGAGGTGGGGATTGGTCTCTTCTCCCAAGTAACAAGTGGAAATGGCAATGGATAGGACAAGAGGAAACGGCCTCAGATTGCACCAGGGGAGGTTTAGGTTGGATATTAGGAAAAATTTCTTCACTGAAAGGGTAATCAAGCACTGGCACAGGCTGCCCAGGGAAGTGGTGGACTCCCCATCCCTGGAGGTATTTAAAAGATGTGTAGATGTGGTGCTTAGGGACATGGTTTAGTGGTGGACTTGGCAGTGATAGGTTAACGGTTGGACTTGATGATCTTAAAGGTCTTTTCCAACATAAATGATTCTATGATTCTATTCTGTGATTCAAAACCTGTATGCAAGGTGGTCATGCTTACCTGTCTCTGGTTGGATGAACTCCTTGGGAACAGAAGTCTGGGCTGTCCTTACTGCAGCGTCAAGAAGTGTAATACAGCCTGAAGAATTTCTTCTTTTCACAGGGACCCCGAGTTTGTTTTCTATGATCAGCTGAAACAGGTGATGAATGCATACAGGTATGGAATTCCCTTGGGCACGCTGGGTTATTGTCTCACATTGTGGCAGTACCTGCTATAGCAATTTCATGTGTTCATTCTTTATTGCAGGGTCAAGCCAGCGATCTTTGACCTGCTTCTGGCTGTCTGTATCGCAGCCTACCTTGGTGTTGCCTATGTTGCAGTGCAGGTAAGAGAAGAGAATCAGGAGACAGATGTAGTATCTTCCTCATAAATCATGTTAGCTACAGTAACTGGTGCTCACACAGTCCCAGCACTAAAGTTGGAACAATAATGCAACCTCACTCTAAAAGTAGTAATCCAAAATGGCTGTCTGTCTTGATGTGTATGTTTTTGAGTACCTCAGTTGGCTGTGCTGAAGGCAATCTCTTGCCATTCTAGTGCAAAACTATTTTATAGAGCTCCTTCTCTTGGTCGAGGACATGCACAACTCACTTGTTAAGCTGTTTTGGCTATGTAACAGCTTCAGACTGAAACTTCTCAAGGTAACTAAAATCTGCTGTAATGTCAAAGGTTTGCAGCGTGTAGTAAATTAGGAGTGTTAGGAGATCCTTCCAGTATCTGAACTTGGGATGCAGCTTAAAAATGCATCTTCAGAGTTTTGTTTTGTTTTGGGTTTTCTTTTTCAATGAAACCATAAATACATCCTGTGTCCGTACTCCTGGAAATGTGATATTCCATGCCTTGGTCAGCCAGCTTAAATTTATTGGTTTTGTTTAAGTGTTAAGAAAGCCACTGTGAGCTAGGCTTCTGATCCTGGCTGGGTTCTCTGAAGAACATGAATGAAAGGGAAGCATTTTAGGTCAATCTAAATTTTGATCTCTTCATGTTATTTGTGTTTATTATTTGTTTGGGGAAACAACAAGCATTTAAAAATCTGATGTAACAACCTAAGCAGGAGGGAAAACATATACTTTGACTTCTGTCAGCTATCTTCATTACATTTGTTATTACAAATTATTTGAAGCCTGGATCTTGTTATATCTGTCAAAGTAGATGTTATCGAATCAAAATGCAATTAATCAAAGCAGAATCAATAGAGGAATTAAGTGAATTTCTAAGTCACTGGCTAAATAGTGAAAGAGAAGATCCAGTTAAAGGATTGTGAACTCCTGGGAATCCCTGTGTTTGCCTGGTTCATTTTTACATTCCTGAAACTGCTAGCAGCAGTGTTTCTGTAGTGACCAGGATCATGCATGTATTGAAATCTTAAGTTTTCTCTTCCCCTTCAGAAGGAACAGAATTACATCAAACAATGTAAAATCTTTAACAAGTGTTTGCATCTTCACTATGGGGGTGATACAGGCCTGCACAAACACTTGTGTAAGCCGTCACTTTCTGTACAACTTGAAGTAACTGGTTTAATTGTAATAATTCCTCCTAATTCACCAAGTCCCACTATGTCTTCAGGATGAGAGTGCTAGTGGATGATCCATCCATCTGCATTTGAAGACTAGTATTGTTTTAAGCCTTCTAGTAAGTTTTCTCTCTGTGTAGAACACAGTCATTTTATTAAAATTTATAAGGACTTATGGTTACTTATTTTCCTTCTGTTTCCAGCACTTTGGTCTCCTTTACAAGATGATACAGAGATTATCCCTTAAAACCAAGCAGCAGTGAAGTAACAAGTCATACAGCAGCACTGAGCCATCGGTGAGCCCATCAGGAACCTTCTGCCTTCCATTGAATCCTGCTGTTTCTCTTCCTCTGCCTCCTCTTTGCTACTCTATAGAGGGGAGGAAGGCAGAAAGCAAATGACATGTTAACTCTTGTGCACCTTTAAAGTGCTTTTCTTCACCTTCTTCCCCTGACTTGCACCATGTCTGTTTTCCTTTGCTTTTTGGTGAGGGAGAGGCTCAGAGACTTCAGTAGTTCCTACAGGTTGTTTAAACACTGAACAGCTGGTTCTGAGCAGCTTCTGTGAGTGTAAAACCAAGTCCAGCACCTTCATGGACACATGTGCCATACAGCCAACTTGGAAACTGAAACTGCAGAGTGGAGTGACATGTTATCTCTGCCCAGCAAACAAGGACTCCGAGCAGTTATTTAAAAGAAAAAAAGTGCACATGCAAATTAAAGAGCATACTATTAGCATGTTTTCTTAGGGCACCTCTTCCTTAAGTTCACTGCCTGGCTTTAGGAAGGTGTGCTGAGCAAGCAGTGTCTGCAGCAAGCATCTTCTTGCATTTTGTTTAGACTGTGCAATAACTCATTCCCTTTTAGGAGGTGCACTGTAAACAATCTTGACTGTTACTGACAGAATGAGGAAAGATTGTTAAAACGGGTTCCTTGCATTAGGGTTCTTACCAGGACAGGTTCTCTCCTGTCTCTATTGGAGGATGCATTTTGCTGTGTACTTGATTTTTCTTAAAGTTTATGGTCCTTGAACAGTTCACAGCTGCCACCACTCTGTGCTAAACTCTTGCTTGGTTTATAAGGGGTGTTCTACAGTCCCAACTGCTGCAGGATCGTGTTCTGTGCTGTTCCATGTATTTAAATGAGCTGGTTATATTAATAGCAAGAGCAGCCCAGCTCCTGCTGACCTCTGGTCTGTAATCCCTTCAGTCTTCATTCCTCAGTTTTCACTTCTGGATGGGTTCTGGATTTTGGGGTATTTTCCCATGTTCACCTGCATCTCAGGGTCTCATTTCACATTTTTCAGCTCCATTATTTCTGGAAACACTGTTCCTGGCCTGCATGTATGAGCAAGTTCCCAAAGTGCTTGTTGCTGTCCTTTCACGTGCTGCCCCCACTATGAGGGGAGGCAGGTCACTTAGCCATTAAAAAGCAAAACAAAACAAAAAATGAAGTTTTATGAATGTCATTTTAAACGTGGCTGTTTCTAGAACTGTACCTAAGAGAGTGTATCTTGGAACACACGCACTCTGTTACTTTTATCCTTGAGCAAGCCTTATTTTTAGTTTGCTGATGCCTCTGGATGGAGAGAGCTGTGTAGTTGCCCAAAATAGTTGCCAGTGCTGTGCAAAGATCAGGAGGGCCAGGTAACCAGTTGCTCAAATGTTGTCATCATCTTAAGTCTTTCCTGAATTCCACCATCCAAGGTAAGCAGGATACTTGTCACCACTTTCTGGTGAGAGTGAATGCCCTTTCTGGGCAGTGTTGCACTTTGTTTACCCTCAAGTTCTTCTGGAAAATATATCAAGATACTGACTACAAGTCCTAGGCTAGTTGTAGTTTTGGAAGACGTCCTGATTGAATACTACTGTCCTGCCACTCAACAATGTTTGAGTCCTCTCTGTAATTTGTTCTATGCACATGAGGTCTCTTCACAGGCCACAGTGACTACCTTTCTTCTTTTTTTTTTTTTTTTTTAAAAAAAAACTTCTTTTATTTGAAAAAACATCTTTTAAAAAGGCTGAAAATTTGTTCTATGCACATGAGGTCTCTTCACAGGCCACAGTGACTACCTTTTTTTTTTTTTTTTTTTTTTTTTAATAAACAACTACTTGTAGTTGAAATAGCATCTTTTACAGAGGCTGAAAAGCTCTTGTGGGTTTGAATAAAGGTGTACCCTTTTTTTGTATGCAAGGAAAATTCAAGCTGTGCATCCTTGTCTGCACCACAGCTGCTGTGCACGCACTTGTTAGAAAGGGGATGGTTGTGGCCAGTCACTGTCCTTGTCCTTTGGATGGAGACCAAAGCACTGATTTCCATCCATCTTTGTGTGTTTCACTGTAGTCTCCTTCTTGGAGCACCCTTACCCCATGATGTGTGCTTTCTGCTACTTTAAATGTGTAGCAGCTTGTTCTTTAAAGGGTCTTGTCTTTTCCAGGAGAGCATACTGATGTCAGTGGCTCACTGTAATAGCAGCAGGTGGCATGGTACCAAGCATTCCTGAAATATCAGCCCTACAGGGAAACTTGCCTTTTTCTGATCTTTTGAGTGCTTATTTGAAATACATCTCTGCATGCATGAAGTGTTTGTGACACTCCTCTGCCAAATGAATTTATAATTACTTCAGAAATTGCTGGAGTGGCTGGAAGACGAACCTTGATTGTTTTCCACTGGTTTTTATGCTCTGCCCTTAGAGACTACATATGTTGTGCTATGGAAAGGTGCACGCTCTGGACTGTGTAGGTTCAGAACATGCACGGTATAGTAGCTATCTGAAGAACAACTCTGTAGGTTCTGAATATCTGAAAGTAGTTTCAGAGGCCTCCAGCTGCATCATACATTTCTAGTGTGTTACACTTGGAGAGAGCGTGTTCCCTCCAATCCAGCAGATTACTTAACCAGGCTTAATGAAACTCCGTTACTTCACTGAGAAAAACAGAAAAACAAAATTATTAGCAATCCTGCTGCAGCTTGACTTGATGCATCTAAAATTTGCAAGTAGTGGGTAAGAGAGAACAGAACAGGCCTGGAGCATTCTTCCTTGCAGCAGAGACTGTCAACCTTCAGTCTTCCAGATGAAATGCTCAAAAGTTCAGAGTCAAAAACTTCCACCAAGTCAACCCACTGTGGTTTCAGCTATGTCCCTGTCGAGGTTGTAGCATTAAAGCAAACACTAGCTCCTTGTGGTTTCAACAATAAACTGCTAACACTCCTGATTCAGCGCCAGAAGCCAGTGGCAGCTATCTAAAGGAAAGGCGGATAGAGGTAAATGAGGAGAGTTCATAAACCTGAAGGGCAGTTGGGATAATACATTGCTCTCTCCCACATGAGGGTAATTTGTCCTATAATCTGATTGGATGCATTTTGTGTACCTCTAGCTGGCTGCCATAGAAAGCAGTTTTTACTACAGATAAGGGTTTATGCTTTTGATCAAAGCGCATGTGCACTGAAACATTATATACTCAAATCTGAGGTAGTCAAATTCCAACTTTCTCATAGCTGGAACAGAGTCCCCATCCTGGGAGTGAACTTAGTTCCCATATTGCTGTTTCCTTGGGGAAGGAAAGTTGACAGAAAAGTTTGTAAATATACCCTGCTGTTCTGCTAGGTTTTGAAAGAACAAGAAAAATGGTGTTGATCCATACAGCATATCTGATGAATTCTGTCACCAACATGACATGCAAAGGCAGAAATCCAACAGCTGTTCTGTTAAAATAAAAGTTCTCTACAACATTGCAGAAGAGCCCTCTGTAGCTGATTCTTGTTGCCCCTATGTTTACCTATCCTTTTTATCAGGAGTTTGCCTGGCCTGGAAGGAAGAAGTATGGAAAGCATATGTCCACATACACACAAGTGGCTAGCAGTTGATGCTTCTAGCCATAAACCAATTTTCTTTGCTATCTGTCTGACTTTACCTGTTGTCCTGGTGCTGTCAAAGTCTGCAGCTCACAAAAAATCTGGTTTTTCCAATAGGATTTAAGCACTGAAGCTGTTCATTCCTTCTGTCCACTCCACCCACACAGGCACTAATGGGCATTGTATGTGAGTAGTTTGGACTATTGTAGTTGATCTCCCAAATAAGAGAGGTTGGTTTGTTGTTATGAAATAAGTACTACTGTGCAATATGAACTCCACCCTTGTACTCAGTGCTAAGAGGAAAGACCGTGAAGCCAAAATGGAAGTAGGTACCCCACTATCTGTGGCTGGAGGAGTCACCACAATCTATTTAGATGTTTAAAACCACAGATACCCAAAATTGCTGGGGGGGGTGGGTGTTGATTTGTTGGAAGTCATGTGCTCTGATGTTGTTGCGTAGCACAAGCCAAAATACCAAGCTTCTCCTGCACCTTGTGGCCAAGCTGGGTTTTATATTTAAGAGCCATTCAGTCTTGACTTACCAACCTGAAATGATGGGAGTGCTACTATATGTCTCGGTAAATTGGGCCTCTGGGTACTCAAGTGTGGGCTCCTGCTTGCTCACTTTGATCTGTTTAGTTTCCATTTGTAGTTATTGGATAGCAACTTCAAGGTTATAATCTGGAATATTTGCAGCTCAGGAAAAAAGAGTTGATTTATCTAGCAATGTTAACTCAATTATCTCTTGTGCGTCCTAAAGAACAAATGTATATTGAGTTGAATATTTAAAAGCTAATAGAAAATTCAATGCAGTTGATTTACATATTTTTTCTGACTATAAATGTAATAATATTTAAGTATTTTAACTTTTTTCGTTTCCTTATTTGTTTGTCCCTTTTCCCTTGGAAAAATAAACCAAGTGAGTAGGTTTGATGAACAGATTCGTTGGAGAACTATTTGCTGCTGGAAGCTCAAAAAACTGGAATCTCCTTGCATTATTTGAAGGAATAGACCCCCTGCAAAAAGGGAGAAAAATGCATGTGTTTAAGAGCTTACATCAACCCTTCTGTTAAAGGTAAAATAGTATGACAGAAAACATTTACAGACCCTGAGCAAGATTCCAGCACCTTGATGTGAGCCAGTTCCCATTTCTTCAAAGGGTTCACGCTGATTTGAAGCAATTAAAGTTTCTATGCACAACAGCTTCAATACTGTGGAAAACTGTCTTCCTGAGAAGCCAACACAGTGTATGCTAGTGGTAGACTGTTGTGTCTCTGTCATTACTAAATGACTTTTTGAACACTTATAAACTATTCAAGTTATAAACATTGCAAGAGATCTGTTACCTGAGCATGAGTCAGTCCAAGTCCTACAAGCCAGTGGTCATAGTTGTACAGGGGGAAACTGACCTAAACACAACAGAAGAGGAAAGGCGGAGGTTGTATTTTCATTCTGCCTCCTCACAATGGCCGAGTTCTCCTTGGTAAGACTGACCTTTCAAGCATCAGCTGCCCCACCTTCTCGCATGTGTTGTAAGGATGTACAAAGTCAAGTCTCAGTGCATGCCTTGCCCAGCCGAGATCTTTGGCTCCCGCGCAGGCTGGCTGAAGGAGGCCAGGCCGCCTGCTGCGGGGGCCCTGGAGCCACTGGGTGAATCTGCCGAGTCCCGGGAATGCCTTTCTCTGCTGTGTCCCCGGTGTTCCCTGACGGTGATTCGGGGCAGGGCGGGGGGGCCCAGCCCGCTGCCGGGCTGGTTCCGAGGCGGCTGGAGCAAGTTCTGGTGCCCGCCGGCAGTAGAGCCACACCCGGGCCGGGCCCGCGCCTCCCCGCTG